GTCTTATTTCAAGTGAATATTATCTAATTATCTTATTTTAAAAGTAAAAATACTCATTCCATTGGAAACTACCTAATTTATATACTCAAATTAAGGATAAATACACTTAATTTAGGGAATTTTAACTAATTTCTAGATGTTTTTTCCAGTGTGGAAACATTTCTGTGACTTCTGCTTTTATTGTTGGACTTCAGAGAAGAATCCGGAGAAGTTAAAGCATGACAGTTATAGTGTAGTTTTATTGCAGGTGATGATCAGATAAGGCCCGACTGTCCCTGGGAGAAACATTTGAAGTTAAACCAGTACAGCATTCCTAGCAGGGCGAATGCCTGAAACTTAGATCAAATAAAATGACATTTTTAACAGTCAATGAACCTTGACGCTGCATATTTAACACTGTGTAGAGTTTATGGGGATAAATGTTTGGTTTACTCTGTATTTCCTCCCATCTTCTGTCCTGAACAGATGAATCTCAGCGTAAAGAGATGAGGGATGTTTGAAGGCGTGGGGGCCACCCTGTTCCCCTCAGGGGTAAAGAAAGAGCTTGGTCATCAGAGGCAGGTGAGCTGGAAGCAGCAGAACCAGGAGGGTTTTTCAGCAGGAGATGAATCCCAGTGCAGGCTATTTGCATCAGCGTCACATCTACACAATGTGAAAGTGGCTGATGACTCACTCTGACGCAGGCCTCCTTCTCACGTACCTCCCATGGTCCTCTCACACGCTCACACACATACGTAGACAGATTTTCTCTGGAGAAAAGCTCGGCTCCTGAACGCCCACGCTGAGCTCTGCTCACAGTGGCAGCCCGGCTCAAATGGCCGCCCCTCCTCCTCCTCCTCCTTCCTCCTCTAAGTCACAGATGATGGTGATGTGTATCCATGGCGACGGCTGGAGGTGGGCGGCGGCTCCACCGGCTGGTGGGCGGAAGCCAGCCACTGAGCAGCGTGGGAGGGATGTGCAGCCATCACCCTGCTTTAGAGGAAGCTGACTGCTTTAGAGAAGGTGTGGGTGTGGGTGAATTATCGCCTCTCCTCCCTGCAGCTCCATCAGGGATCGCCTTGTTTCCCTCCCTCCTTTCCTTTGTTTTCTGCTTTAAAGCTGCAAGCAACAACAAAATTCAACTTACAAAGCTTCTTTAAGGTTAAATAAAAGGTTCTAATCAACAGTTTTCATTCTAAAAGTTTCCCAACTTTAAAAAAATAAAGTTAGTTTGTTTTTGGGCCATAACTGCAAACGTTTCCCAACCCTTTTCATACAACCTGAAAGAACTAGCAGCTGGAGCCGCACTGAGATATGGCTTAATTGGATTAAGACTTTGCATGCAACTGTAATAGAGTGAAATTAAACAATGAATTGGAAGGTGCAGAATGCTTGAAGCGTGTTTGGACACATCTCATTTTAATCCTGTCGACGGTGGTTGCAAAAAAACAAGCACAAAGCTACAGATATGAACATCAGGCAACTGAATTTCATAATTTCCTCTGCATCTGAACAAAAACAAGGGATTTTTTTTTTTTGTTCGTTTTCTGTAATTTTCACTGGAAGTCCCCTTTATTTCTGATCAAACGAAGGAATTTTTTTCTTCTCTTTGCTTTCAGATCTCAGCCCATGAATATTTCATGTCCAAGTTCACAGGAGTCAGCTCTAATCTGTTTTGTTTTATCCTCCTTCGAGGTGCAGGTGGGAGGAGTTTGCAGAGATTTAGATAAAGCCTACAAGAGCCAAGAGAGGAAAAACAGATCAGCAAATAGTTTCCAATGAGCAAATCGTTTTAGTGGGCCATTAGTTTATGCTCTGTGTCAAATATCACCTACACGGGTTAAAAAGGTCAGAATAAAGATTTAAACGCCAATATTTAGTCTCTCCAGCAGATGGCGCTGAAGTTTTTAAATGCCTGTAAAGGTCACATTCACTGATGAGTCGACTGGGTGCAGTACCCAAACATGTCCACAAGGTGTCGCAGCAGGATAAGATGGTCCCCAGCAGCAACGGAATTTTATCTCTTTTCTCCATCTTTTATTTATTTTTTAACACGAACTTATCCGTTCATTTTTTTTCTTTTTACAAGAAAACCAAATAAAAGATTGTAAGTTTATTTTTTAAATTATTGTTTTCAAATAGATCTAAATGGTATAATTAATTATTCCCTTTGTATAATTGCCATTTTATCTGTTATTTATTTTTAGGTGTTTTAATGTAATAAAAATAGTGTGTTTTGTGGGAATTAAAACGCCTGAAACGGCTCTGATAAATAATAAAACACGTAAGGACACATTTTTTAGTATTGTTATCAGGTCAACAGTGGGTGGGACGGTCTTAGTGATTGACGGTCATATCAGCCAATCGGATACAAGCAGGGGAGGAGCTCGTCCAATGAAATGCGTTGCCGGGAGAAAGGGTAGGTTGTGTCATTCAGAGCCGGAGAGTCGCAGGAATAACCGTTAGTAGGAATTTATCAGGAGCAAAAAGTCACTTTTCCTGGTTTATTTCAACCTTCCTGGAATCGATAAAGTCAGAGGAACTCAGTCGGTCTTTAAAGGCAGCCATAAAATGTTGCCTTTCCGCTCTTCGGCGGCTGTCTGGGAGCTGCTCCAGAGCCCGCTCAGGTTGCCGCTCAGAGCCGCGCTGAGAGGTCCGTTCAGCGGGTGGGCAGCCCCGCAGCCCGCCGGCAGGGAGGGCGGCTTCCGGGGCTTCTGCAGCCCGGTTCAGGGCCACAGCGATGCGGGCAGCGAGACCTCCGCGGACAAGTGAGTAACCCGGGTTATGGTGGAGAGACACCAGCGGCGGTTTGAAACCTTTATGGTTCTAATAATCACCTTTGATTATGTTTGTAATAAATGGGACCATCCATTTAAAACTGAGAAATAAATAAATAAAAAACTGAACAGACTGGTATAAAAATGGAGGCATGTGAGGTGAAATAAGGATGAATCGTGACCAGCATCATCATCATCATCTCAGACATGAAGCTGCTTTCTGATAACAACCAGCAGCTCAAAGTCTGATGAAGGTCAGACCTGACTGAGCAGCTTTAACCCAGAGGGAACCACAGATGGATGTCTGCTGCACGGTGGAGACGGAATCAGCCTGTGGTCCTGCAGTCAGAGGGTCCATCTACCCCAGAACCACCAGCAGCCTCAGACTGGGAACCATTTTCGGCCCTGGCACCAGCCCACTGATTTAAACTTTAGAATTAAATAATGACCCAGTTA